AGGCTCCCAACAACACGACACCCTTGAGGTCGTGTTCCAACTCATTGGCAGCCGCCCCTAAGCAGCGCCGCAACGTCATTGCTCCGTCTGTGCTATGTATTGATGCAGATCATTCATCTCTCCCTTTTCAGAAATTCGAGAATGCTGCAGGCGACTGTTTTCCATCACGTCTGACAGTGGTCTCGACCCTTTCTTCCGCCATCGAAGATGGTCGCAATTATCTGCTGGGCATGGTGTGACTTATTCCATCCATGTTGCTAAATGATCCATTGTGGCGCCGCCATTTCTGGCGCTACTCGAGTTGTCGGACACCGGCAAATCAACAGCGATTTCTGTCACACCCGGATGCACATTGGTGTGGTCTTAATGGGCCCAAGGACTCTGCTACACAGCTCACATCGGAGGAAAGCCGGTTTTGGCGCTGAGACGCTGATGATTAATAGGCGCGAAGCATCTGCTACGGATTTCCCGCGCGCCATCGATCTCGATTTGTTGTAGTCAACAGAAGCTGGAAACGATCTCGATCCCAGCTGAAAGCGGTCGGACGAATAGCCGACGACCTCTACGTTCAACCCTGGAAGCGGATGTATCATAACACTTGAAGTGTCCTCGTCTCGGCGAATTCTGGTCTTGTATGTGAGAAAGCAACGCAAGCTAGAATAATGAGGCTAATTCAACTCAGAACTGCATCGTCTCAGGCTTCTCGTATGCTTGCTCTTTATAACGGCATGGGCTCTACTGCTCCTTCTGTTCTCCGAGGCCGGCCGTCACCGGCGGCTTTAGCTCTCCTGCTGGGTCGAGTGTTCAGTGGACAAAACAGACACAAACAGGCGGAAGAAGTGTATCGCAAAGCTCTTCAAGATTTCGGATCGACCTCCAGCGATTGGGACACGACTGCAACTCTGTTGCGTGAATATATCCGTACGGCCACACAGAGCGGCACATTATTAGAAGCCAAGGCCATATATGACCGTGTGATCCGATACTTCATTCTGAGGCTGGGACGATCTCATGACACGACCCTTCTCTTGATCTATGAAACAGGTAACGCGCTCTGGACAAGCGGCGCTCTCTCGGAGGCCGAGCAAGTCTACCAGGAGGCTATTTCCGACCTCGATATCACCAGGAACAACGCCAATGTTCTTTTGCTCCGCGTCATGGACAAGCTCGGCACTGTGTACACAGAGCAAAGTCGGTGGAAAGAAGCAGAAAATATGCATCACGCCGCCTTGAAGGGGTTCTTGAATGCATACCAGAATTACTATGATTCCCGGGTCGTTGCTGTTGTTCTTAAGCTAGGAGCCACGCTCCGTGCGCAGGGAAAGCTCAAAGATGCAGCCCAGATGTTCCAGTGGGGATCATCTGGCCTCCAGCAAGCATTTGGACTGGAGCATGCAGACACTATCCACGCATTTGATCAGCTTTGCCTCATACACACAGCAACAAAAAACTTTGTGGATGCGGAATTTGCTCTCCGCTCCGCTCTCAACGGTTGCGAGAGCTTGTACGGGAAATACCATGAGCGAACGCTTCGGAAAAGAGCCGAGCTTGCCGTGCTCCTCAGAGACCAAGGCAGGTTTCTAGAGGCGCAAGCGGCGTGCGAGCTGCTATTGAGCGAACACGAAACGCCCCTGAGTGACTGGAAATTCTTTGTACTCAACCACTTAGGTACAATCCACTCTATGGTCGGCCAGTTTGACAAAGCGGAGGGGGAGTTTGCCGCAGCCATAGCAGGTTTTAGGAAACATGGGGGTCAACAGTCTTCTTTAGCGCTGCTTGTTCTCTACAATATGGGAAACGCGTACCATGTGAGAGGGCGGCCAGACCTGGCCGAGGTTTCTTACCGTGAGACGCTGGCGGGCCTGAGACAAACGGTGGGACACAATCATATCGCATCCCTTGCCGCCGCAGAGATGCTTGCACTGTCGCTCATGTCACAAGGCAGAATTGCAGATGCCGCCAACACCTGTTCCGAGGCTCTCAATTTATGCAGATCTGAAAGTCTCTGGCCAACTACCGAAGCCCACAGGGTAACAGCTGCCAACTTTGAGCACATGACCACGTCATGTCTCCCATTTTACAGCCAGAGTCCTCAACTCTGTAAGCATGACAACAGCGGAGAAACCTCTCTGCCGCGGACGAACATCAAAGGCGCGGTCATGAAATAGCCAATGGTAGGTATCTTGATGATCGATGCATTTTCAAGCATGCGTGGAAAGTCGCCCCTTTGTACATGATGCATAATTAAATCATCAATAATTAGTGTATAGAGCGTCAAACAAGATCTGGTTTCCTAAAACAAAATCGTGGACAGTCTCGCCCTTTGTCTAATTGGCGCGTTATGAGACTGTCTAGGAGATCTAAATTACCTCCATGTGTTTGTCCTCTATGCATCCTTCCCGGAGACCCATCTTCGCCTACCAGTGTGTGAGGCATTTGAGTCTCCTAGCAAGCGCTAATCCGATTTATGGCCAGCTTCTGTCAAAGTCGAGTGCCCAGGCGGACTGCGATGCCCAACCGCTGCTTAGCTGTCGTGA